TCTTTCCTGCTTATGCAGGGGGTCGGACTCGATGATCTATTGAGGTCCCTTCCGACCCTAACATCTATGAATCTATGAATCTATGAAAAGAAGGACCCAATGGACTTTTCAGTTTCACTATATCATAGTTGGCATTAAAAAGGAAATATTTGCCAAAATCTCTATACTGCTGTACCTTAGCCTTTGTAGATATTCACAATTTTTAATATGGGCCTGGATATTGACTTTGTATTTGTACCCACTGTATTACTCATAACATTTTTTATTGAAGGAAAACTGTTTTTAATTATCATTTTTGCTTTAGGCTGCTTTCTGACAACAAATCTCAGCTCAAAAATACAGGTGGCATAAGCAGTGTAACATCTCTGGCAAGGAGTAGTCTCCTAGGCAACTTCTCTTGCCCTCTTTCTCTCTTTTCTCAACTGCAGTATTTCACTTCTACTAGCCAATATCCTAAGAGAAAGCAACAGTCCAGATCAGCAAGTTTACAAGGCTCCCGTAAGGATGACGCAAGGTTTAATGTGAGTACAATGCTTAATTAAGGATGCACTTTCAAAACAGGCATAAGAGATTCTTGCACGCATCTCGGATTGTCTGGGGTTGTAAGGATTAGCTTTAAAAGCAGAAGGCTAAAATACTAGTCCTTTTGTTGCTTTGCTATTCCACAGAAGTGGATTGTTGGATTGGAAACAGCACTGTTCAGGAGAAAAGTTGTTCATTTGCAAGATTTATGCAGCTCCCTCCTCTCTTTTCCTTGTTCTACAGAAATGAACACAGGCATACAATAGATCTTGTTCCAAGTCCATTATTATCAATACCCTGGGACAAGAAAGAAAACCAATGTTTTTCACTCCCAGGGTGAAACTTTAGATGACTCTAGGGAAATTGCATCTGACATTGTGCTGAGCATTTTTGCACTAGTAACAAAATAGAGAAGAATCAACAGTCAGGTTAATGTACAAATAGAGGAAGAGCAAAGCATATTGTGTGTTTGTTGTTTTGCCTACAGGAAAGCAAGGAGGAAGAAAAAAAGAGGGTTTATGCTCTGTGGAAGTGTGACTTCAGTTAATTTACAGTAAAATTAAAAGGAAAAAATAGCTCCATAGAAATGTTCACCATTTGCTGGAAGTTAAGAAGTCATGGTGCTATGCTGCACAGGTGGTCCCCGAGAACTCTCCTCCCTAGATTCAGTCATTATATCCTGTGTTTTCATTTCCCGTTCTTAACACTCTGGCTTAAAACCAGATAATTCTAAACTTCCCAATCACTCCTGATACTTCCTGAGGCCTAAGACAGCTGGTCTGAACAAGATTATTCCTGTTTATGAATGACAAAAATGTTATTTCAAATAGAATGAATGTTCTTCATCTTTCATTCTTCACCTCTGTATTTCCTCGTTTTCTTCCTGTCATCTTTGTTCACCTCTAATATTTAGATTTTTCCTTGTTCTCCTTTTTTCTTCACCTGTTATTGTCATATAACTTCCCTTCTATCTTCCCACCCTACTTTCATTTTTTTATCATCTCTGTTCTCTTGTCCTCTTCCCAGAGTCTTGTTTCCTATCTTTTTTTAGTCTGTTCACAGCTTTACTTTTCTTTTCTTCCCACCCTAGTTCCCTAGTTCCCTGTAACAGAGTTATATAACAGATATATAAACACAGGCGTATTACAGGGTGCCTTTTAAACCAAGAACCCTTGCTTAGGATTTATAATCTCTACATTAGATACAGGAGTCAGAGAAGTCAGTTGAACTGGGCAGGGACCTAGTTTGGGAAAAAAAACCCATGAGGGTTTGGTTAAAACTTTCTGGTAAGTTCCTCTGTGAGCAACTGGCTGATGAGTTTATAGGGAACCGAAAGAAAGCTAGAGGCGGGCAGATGAGACCAAGCATTTTTAATTGTTTTATTTAAAATCCTTCTGTGACAACTGAGCGGGTCCTAAAGAAAGACTTTTTGATAGAACTGTTAAGGCTTTATTTGATCTCCCCCCAGCAAGAGTATCTTGTCAGCATCTCTGTAGAATCTTTAACTCTGTAGAATTCCCCCTACACTTTTAATTATATATGTATATTGCTTAGTGTTGACAACTCTTGTAATTTTATTAAGTCTTGTGATATGTGTTGTTTTACTTATATCCCCAGCTCCTGAAGACAAGTGACTATGTGAGAATCTCAGCTTTTTTTTAAAGCTGATTGGTGAAACAGAAAAGTCTGAAAACATGATCTGAATGTACCCTAAAGACTTTCAGAAATCAGAAGGCAAATAATATAATATCTATCTTTTTAGCATGAATATTTTAAAGATAATTGATTAGCTAATATTAAGATAAGTCTACCATAGATTCTGGCTCAGTCTGTGAACTTTTTTCCTGCTTCAAAAGATAGGCATTATTTTTATATTTTATTTTCTATTTGAGAACCCCAGAAATGGGTAGCTATGAGCCCTACTAAAAGTGTACAGCATTGATTTCTCATAATACAGCCGAAAGAAAGGTAAGGGCAGAGAATAAACATGAATGTCTATGACAAAAAACAAATAGCTATTCAATAAAGCATGTGGGCATCTTCTACCAGGCTCTTCCTAAAATCATTATTTCCTTAGCTCTCCTTCATTTCTAAGAGGCTGTTCAACAAGAGATCTTTCCCTGATAGATGCTGTGCATGTGGCAGGACTTAGAACTTGGTGAACTGAACAACAGAAGGATTCCCCAAGTTTATGGATCAGTATAGAGGAATGTGCACAGGAAAAGGTACTCGAGTGATGGTATAACCATGATAGGTTACAGGATACCGGAACGAAACATTTTTTATGACATGTACAAAATAGGTGTAATAGCAGAATTACTTACTGGTGAGGAAACAGAATTTGACTAACAGTCAGCTTCAGAAGGATAATGTGGATGACTGTTGTGGAAAGGTTCTGTCACATGGGTGTTACAACCACATGTTGCAAATCTGAAAATCCTGGACTTTCAGCTTATTCACTGATGAGGCTGTCATAGCATGATTCAGCTTTAAGAATAAAGACTGACTGTGATTGATTCAGCTGGAATGTCTGAGATTTTTTAAGATCTCAAACATTCTAGCTGAAGAAATCAAGACTTTTGAAATGGAAACAACTGCAGCTGGAGTTGATTGAAGAGTGAGTGAATCTAAAAATGAATTGGGATTAAACATAATTATTTGTAAGCAACACCTCTTTCAGATGCAAGCATGATTCATTTTTTTCATATTTATTCTTCATTTTGTTTTTTATCCAATTAAAGTAATTGGAGTTTATTTACTTCTGTGTTTGCAGAGTTTCTATAAAAAATCTGACACCACTAGAATCAATAAAGTTATGATAATTCACTGAAGTGAATTCTTGTCTTATTGAATCTTACGAAATAGGACACAGAGTCTAATAAAAGCAGCTCTATATTGTTTCAGTATAGGAAAATGCTTTTTTGTATGTCCTGTGTAAATTTCAGAGGAATGTATATGCTCAGAAACAGCTGAATAGCTGAACAGAACTGTATTTTATATATCTATATATATAGGGCTTAATCCGTCCGTCTGTCTGTCTGTCCATAACGCTCTTGTGGGGCATGGCTCCTGGCAGGGAGCAGCTCTAGCCAGTGCTGTGTCAAGAATGCCCATCAAGAATGACGGGAGGCTCATGGTTCCAGCAGCCAGCACAGCGGGCCAGGGGCAGCAGGCCAGGCAGACGCAGAGCAGGGGGAGGAAGTTGGGGGTGGCACGGGGCCAGACGCGGAGCAGGGTGGCTGGGTGGCACAATGCTGGACGTGGAGCGAGGGGTTGGCGCAGAGTGGGGTGGTGTGGGGCCAGACACGAAGCGGGAGGGGGTGGTGCAGGGCCAGATGCAGAGTGGTGGTAGCACAGGGTGGTGGGTGGTAGCAGTGGCCGCACATTAGGCATTCTTGTATTTCCCTAACTTTTCTCGGCAGGATCCTCCTTTTATAGACAATTTTTCCTAAAACTTACATTGCTCTGAAACCCCTCTGGATAGGCCTTCCAACAGATCAAAAAACACCCTTGCACAGATTCAAACTATTAGCTGTTTTCCCACATTTTTTTACAATTCCCTGACTCTTATTTGTTCTTTCATTTCTTCCAGTTTCTTCCTAATTTCTTCAACTTTTTGCCTCAATCCAGTCCTATGCTTCCCTAAATCTTAATGTTGGCCTGTCAGACTAGACCCAGCACTGTACCTGAACTCCTGGTGGCCCTGGACAAACTTTTAGTATCAGGCCCTGCTATGCCAGAGATAATGATAATAATAAAAAAATTACCATTCTCGAGCCCCCTTTCTGTCTGGGCCCCGGGCGGCCACCCGGTTTGCCCATGCCTGTGTCTAGTTCTGACTAGACTGTTCTACAACCGTCCATTTATATCTGCCATTTAACCTTCTGTTTGAACACAGCACCCAGGTTCTGTTTTAAACATTTTCCTGATATATAACTATAATCATACTCTACATAAATAAACTTTGATACCAAAAATAAGGTCCTATTCTTCCATGACCTACATCATGTACAATAGAGATCCTGTCTTGACAATAACTACAGCATGAAATCATTTACCCCCTGCAGTATTACTAGGCACTTGTACCACTTATTCCTGTTTAAAACTCTCCTTTTAGCTCATGTCTTTTTTCAGGCTTCCTGAGCCACCTGTGTCATACTCTGTCCAAATTGTGTGGATGGCTATATTAGTATCCACCAGTCTGAAAAAGGCAGGGAATCTTAAAATATATCATAATTAAAACCTAACATGCTACATTTCCTCTCTGGAGAAAGAATAGAAGAAACCGGTGTAAGCCAATGTGGTTTCCTGAGGGAGTACTCAAAGGTTTGTTGTTAAAAACAAACCTGTACTGGAAAAAGTAAAGACAAACAAACAAGAAAAGAATACACAGAAAAGATAAGCAAAAAATCAGGCTGAGGTCATAATCCTATGTTGGGATACACTGATCCCTGTGACTGCAGCAGTGCAATAAGCAGAACAAGAAAGGTTTTTACAAATACATCAAAGGAAAAAAAAGTGCTTGAATGAAATCAGATCCATTGGTACATGAAAGAAAAATATTTAACAATGAGTTTAAAGACTGGGAAATTCTGAGATTTTAAATGTTAAAATCTGTCTTCAGGAGGAAAAAAGATAAAAACTAATAGGAAGTAAAACTAGCTGTGTACTATGAAGAGTTGTCAAAAGAATACATAAATAATATAAATGGTTATAGAAAACTTGGTAATATACATCCAAAGGTATTAAGGGATTTTAAAAAAAATTCGATTTTTTAGCCAAGTCTCAGAAAACTTGGAAAGCCCTAGAAGACAGAAGAATAGCAAAGAAAATACTGCCTATGGGAAACAAATGAATGAACTTGATAGTTACTGGCTGAAATTGTAATTAGCTAAATTAGTAGAAACTGCTATGGGATTTTCTTCTTACTGATTTTAGTATTTCTATTCTTTTTTTAATTTGACTTTAAATGAAAAAAATCTTTAAAAATTAGGGGTCAAAAATTGTTTTTAAATGACAAATTTTGTTGGAAGATTGAAATTTGGAAAAACACTATGCAAAATGAAAGCATTCAGAAAGGTTATAAATAAGGGGTAATGGAAAACGGGTAAGGTATTACCTAATAGTGGTGTCTAACTTTACGGAGCTGATGTTGGGTGTGCAAATACTAAAGATTTTCAGATGGACTAAACAATACATTAATGGCATCTGCATACAAATAATCTGGGGAGATGTTCCAAACACTAAAGATGACAGAGAAATATGAAAGGATATTGAGCTACTAAAAATATGGGCAGATAGCAATATCAACTTACTTTGGGGGAAAAAAACCTCCTTAATACTTTTGCAAAAAAGGAATTCAAATCACAGAACTCCAACAGAGAGGAACAAAACTGGAAAGCAGTAGCTAAGAGAGACCTTGGAGTGATATTAAGTAAGAATTTGCAGTACAGCATGGCAATAATCAAACTCATTGCAACTATAGTTTGCCCACATCTGCATGCTGGACAACTCATTATGAAGCAGAAGGAAAATGTCCTCTGACAGCATCTGGGATACTATATTCATTTCATGAATTCCCAGCACAGCGATTAAAGGTTTGAACTAAAGTCCATCGTAGCCTGTGGAAAGAATCCCTTGGTTTCAAAAGGCTTTAGCATCTACCCTAACTGAAAAGAAAGTACCAGGGCGCAAATGAAAGCTTGCCCTAGATGTAACTATTATGTGCCTAAATGGGCAGGTATCCTAAAATAACAACTGTGGGAGGCACCATATGGAATATATTTTAATTGCTTAACACCTACTCTGGGACTGCCCACACCACAGCTATTCCAAGGGGGGTAACATCTGGAGTCTGAAGAACAGCTTTGAACCGTTTTGTTTAATAATTTGCGTAGGTCAGCATTGTGTAGATTAGCCTGAGTGCCCCTGACTGTAGGCAGGACCCTCCAGAGGTTTTGCTGGAGGAAAGTATAGGGAAGAGAGAAAGAAAGGAGAAATTGGAATGGGGAGGAAGGAAAAATGGAGGACGCCCCTCCAGCATGAGTTTGGCTCTCAAGTGAAGTTGTGGAGACAGGGTATGACACTCCTGTTATCTGTGACAGGATCACAGGGGCAGCAGCACAAACGCAGAGGGGTATCACGAGGCTTGCATGTCGGCTGGCTCAAGGCAACAGGCAACCAACAACATGGGTTGAAACAGGGTTCTGGTCTATACGCCCCCATGTATGCATGTCCGTGTGCATTTGTGTGTGCGGGTGCATGTATGTATGCATGTATATGTGTACACATACATGCGTATATGTGCATTTATATATATGTATATGCTTGGGTATGGGTGTATATGTGTGTGCATGTACATGTGTTTATGTGTGCAGGTGTGTATATATATATATATGTGTGTGTGGGTGTGTATAGATGTGTGTGCTTATGTGCATGGGTGTGTATGCACATGTGCATGGGTGTGGATACACATTTGCATGCATGCATGTACATGTTTGTGTGGGTGTCTATGCATGTGCATAGGCACGAACATATGTATGTGGGTGTGCATGTACCTACATGTGGGTGTATGTATGTGTATGCACATCCATGTGTGTATATGCATGTATGTACATGTGTGCTTATGTGTAGGGGTATGTGTTCATGCGTGGGATGTGTATGCACGTCTGTGTCTGTGCGGGTGCACGTGTGCATGCACACATGTACTTGCGTTTGTGTGGGTGTGTAGGCATGTGCATATGTTTTGTTTTTTTAAAGGCATTTTTCCTGTTCCAAACCAAACCAGGTCCAAAACTGAGTCAGTCCAGAACCATAAGTGTCCGTACAACCAGCAAACCTCCTCCACCCCTCACCAAGGGCTTCAGATAAGTCCAAAGTCTTTTGGCAGGCAATCCTACATGCATAAATGTACACCCATATGTATGTATGTGTATGTTAGATGTATGTGCTCCTGTGTGGGTGCATACATGTGCGTGTACAAGTGTTTATGTGTGGGTGCGTATGTACATGTGTGTAGGTGTCTATGCAGGTGTACACGTACGTAGCTATGTGCTTGGGTGCTCAGAAGCCCGGACACGGCCCATCCCAGCCCCTCAGACCGCACCCTACCTCCTCACGCCTCCCTCGAGCCGGAAGGGACACGCCCACCCCCACAGCTGGGGCAGGGCGGGGCGCGGCGCTCTGATTGGTTTCCAACTCGCCCGTCTCCGCCCCTCCCCCTTTTGACCCTGCCCACCCCGGGACGGCTGGGCGGGCCAACGCGCGCACGCGCTTTGGGCGTCCTGACAGTCGCTTGTGCAAGAACCGTAGCAGTCAGGACTGAAGGCGCGCGTGAGCCCCACCCCCCGCCTAGTTCCTGCCAGCGCCCTCTGCGCGTGCGCGGCCCCTCCCCCTTCTTCTCCCCGCCCCCAGCTCGTGACTCAGGCCCCCGCAGCGGAGCAGGGGGCGGGGCTGGGGGCGGGGCCGGAGGCCCCGGCGGCG